TTGCAGCCCTTTTCTTCCTAACACTGGTTTTTGTTTCCTCACAACTGTAAAAGCAATGCATGCTCAGTATAGAGGACTTAGAAAATACAGAGAAATATAAAGAAGAAAACAAGCGGGTCACATGTATGACACAGAACACCCCCTTCCAGGCATTCAGATGCTTGGCCAGCTCTGGGTAGACCTCCAGAGGTTGCCTGATCAACAAGGACTGACTGCACTGGAACCAGGGGAGCTGGTTAGTTCTGAGGGAATCGTGCAGGTTTTGCAGAACCTTGCTCAGCCACCCCCAGCTCCCAAACAGATAGCACCTCTGCAATTCACGGTGCAAGGCCACTTTCACTGCCACACTCAGTCTTTCAGGCTCCTTCCTTTCCAGAGTCTGCACTGACCTAGCATGTCTCTGCTGAGGCAGGAGGTCCTGGTGGCATTGGGTTTTGGCATGTGCCTCACCCCTCTCACTCCCCCACTGACAGATTAGTGCTTAGTGTGGGTCTTTGAACCGGTGATTCCTCTCTATTCATTGCAGGTCCAGAGTATTTCCTAAAATTTTAGGGGTGCTTGCTTAGTGTGGAACTTTGTCACAGCTTGACCAGCTGCTGAGCTAGTGGGCAGCATGGCTAGTAGCTAGAACCTAAGACTTATGGCTAAAGAGTGGTTAATCCCAGCCCCCTGCTGCTTAACATGGTAGGACCCATGGCTAACTCAACATCTCCAAACCTTAGTTCCTTGTTTGTAGCTTAAAAGAGAGAACCTAAAAGGCTGCTTTGAGGCCCAAATGAAATCTGAGAGGACTTGAAAAACCTTAAGCCCCAGTGTCATAATCTGTGCTACATGGAATCAATCATACATGTGGATCTGGTCCCTAGAACACAACCTGGACATGAAATGTACAGTGTATCTGCTTGCAACATGAGCACAACATATTCCTTAACAGCAGCAGTGTTAGAGTGTATTCCTCTGTAACTTTGAGTCACTTTCTAGATAAACAACCCAGACATGCGAGTGCAGATCCTCAAAGATTATGTCAAACAGCACTTCCCTGCCACCCCCCTGCTCGACTATGCGCTGGAAGTGGAAAAGATTACCACCTCAAAGGTAAAAAAGAAAATGTCCCTAATTCCCAAATCACAGTTTTGGGTGAATTACTTGGGGGAAATGAGACAACAGCCAAGTTGTTACCTTTTGATTGTGTAGCTAAAATTCAACCTGGTTTTCTGGAAATCTTTATTTCTGTTGCATAACTAAGTTCAACACACATGTACTAAGTGTCAGCTAGGCGTTGAGTCCTTTGCTAGACAGTGGGGTTTGAACTCAGTAAGACAGTCTCTTCTAACTACCTGGGATGCTTTGGTAGGAGGTTTTTAAATGGTGATCAGAATGTGTAGTGTAGTAGTAGTAGTGAAAAATTACAAAATGAGAAATAATGATAAATGCTTTGAATATTTTGCCTTCCCAGAAACCAAATCTTATCCTGAATGTAGATGGCTTCATTGGAGTTGCGTTTGTAGACATGCTTAGAAACTGTGGGTCCTTTACTCGGTGAGCATTGCAGCCCTTTCCTTCTTCATAATGTTTATTGATTGTTGTTGTTCCCTCCCAACTCTGAAAGCAGTGCATGCTCATCATAGAGGATTGAGAAACTATGGAGAAGTATAAAAAAGAACGAAAACTATCTCTCCTCCTTCCACCCGGAGCACGCCTCTATTCTGCTTTGAAATCAGAGACAGCTAGCTTCTCACTCCTGGGCAGAGGTTGTACAGTCTGTGGGGAAGAGGGCAGTTGTGAGCCATTTTAAAACTACATGTTGAGACCTGGCCGGTGTAGCTTAGTGGGTTGGAGCATCATCCCATGAAAGGTTGCAGGTTTGATTCTTGGTCAGGGTGCATAGGGGAGGGAACCAGTCTCCCCCCACCCCTTCCCTCTCTCTAAAATCAGTGACAACATATACTCAGGGTTAAAAAGAAAACAAAATTACATGTTGATTGTGTGTTGCAGGGAAGAAGCTGATGAATATATTGACATTGGAGCCCTCAATGGCATCTTTGTGTTGGGAAGGAGTATGGGCTTCATTGGTGAGTTATTGTTTTAAGAGTTTTTAATATGGGTTATTGTTTTTTTTTTTTTTAATGTGTTTTTATTGATTTATTTCTCTCAGAGAGAGACGAAGGGAAAGAGAGACTGAAACATGGATGTGAGAGAGAAACATCAATTATCTGCCTCCCACAAACGCCCCCTACTGGAGAATCATGCTCACAACCTGGGCATGTGCCCTGACAAGGAAATCAAACCTGGACCTCTCAGTCCATGGGAGGACAGGCAATCCTCTCAGCCACACTGTTCCCCCTGCCCCCATGCTCCAGCTACACCACTTAATTTATGTGGTGAGTTTCTACAAAAGAGATGTCACATTGACTTAATCATTGTTCCTAATCCTTCTTTCCTTACTTTCACTTCCTCCTTTGTTCCTTTGTCTTGGAAATGACCTCGTTTGCAAACCTAGGAAAATACAATTAAATCAAAGTTACCTTTTTTTTTATTTAACCAAGCCTGACATCTACCTATGGAATGGATCTGGATTTACTTCCCCATTTCTTTGTATCTAACTTTTTATATTAGAAAGATTTCCCTTCCTTATCCTTTTTCCTTCACCAAACTTGAACAAATCCACCAACTCTTAAAAAAATACAATTTGCTCCATTTTAGGACACTATCTTGATCAGAAGAGGCTGAAGCAGGGGCTGTATCGTCACCCATGGGATGATATTTCATATGTTCTTCCGGAACACATGAGCATGTAACTGAGCCAGGAACCCTGTTGCAGTCAAGAGAAGTCAACTCCTCCCCTGGGAAGTAGCGTGCAGACAGCTGGCACTGGAGCTTGCTATAGGATGGGCCTGGAATGTAAACAGCCACCGGTGTACAGGCATCAAAGACCAACACCCACAGGCTAACACTGTTCAGTCCACACAAAGAAGCTTAATATTTTTTTTTTTATAAGCATAGAAATAAAAACAGCCAATATTTGTGACATTTGCTCTGCTACCTGTATTTATTACATAAAAGCATCTAAGCACTGTCAGGATAGTGTTTTTCCTCATTGTAGGGCTTTCTGATGTTGCTTTCTTTTTTCCATTAAAATATTTTTCCCTTGGAGGAAGGGAATGCAACTTTTAAGACCTCAAGATACTATACATTTAAAGTATCCCTAATGTCTTGTGTTTTCGCTTCCCTTTCTTCCTGCTCATATAACAAAGAGCATTGTATTAATCTGATCTTTTTAGGATCTTTTTGTATGTTCTGTGTTAAGGATTTGTTTGGTATCTCACTGAAATGTTCCATGTTGCAGACCAAAATCTGCTTATTTCAGGGGGTTGAGACCATTGTATCCTTAGCCATTGTCACAAAATGTGTGGAGTAGTAATTTTAAATGTAAAGTTGTAACATACATATGTTTAAAATGGAAATGCAAAGTAAAAAGCTGTGAAATGTCTGTCTTATGTTCTCTGGATTTATGCAACTGACTTGTCTGTCTTTTACTGAAGTGTGGGTCCAAGGACTCCTCTCTAGCCAGTTTGCATCTGTAATCTACAAAGATTCTGGGCAGCTGGGACCTCAGTCTCTTCTCCGTATTATCATAGTTTGGTTTGAATAAACTATATAGTAACAATGAATACCTACTGCTGTCTCATGTCATCCATACCCTTTCATCTGTAGTCCTTTGAACTGTACTTTCTAATAATTATACATGTAGTCTTAAAAATGTTAATCTGCCTCTTTTTTTTTTTTTTTTAAGGTAATTAATCAAAACACTATTTCCAAAAACAAAACACCCACTCCTAAATCTGTACCTCCCTCTTTCTCAGTGAATGAGAACCAAAGCTCCACCCACCCAGATACACAAGCCAACAACTTGGGAATCCTTTACTTCTCCATCTGCATGACAAGTCCTGTTGATTTATCCTTTAAAATATAATTTAGATATAAATGATGTATTAGTTTCAGACATACAACCTAATAATTTGGTATTTGTATATACTGCAAAATAATCATAGTAAGACGCCATTCAATTTACCCTTTATCCCTCTGATGGATCCATATCTGGTGTGCTAACTTGTGCATCTGTTTCTACTTTTGACACCTCACAGTCCATTCTCCATGCAGCTACCAGTGATATTTTTTAAAACATCTCATTTTAAACACTCCCTTGCTTAAAACCCAAAAGTAGCTTTTGGTCATCTTAATACAGGGAACAGTATAGCTGTGCAGGCCAAGAACTGCAAAACAAGCATCTCATTTAATCACATCAATCTTCCAACACAGATAATATTACTGTTGTTAGAAGATAATGAATTCACAGATAAGTAGCCTGCTCACCCTCATTCATGAGTTGCAACCCCAACTCATCCATAAATTGGGGCTCGGTCTCAAGACTTTTCTTAATTTACTCCAAAACCATTTAAAAATGTTAAGTAGAAATCCCGCCCTGGCTGGTGTGTGTCATTTGGTTGGAATGTCCACCCCTATGCCGAAAAGCTGCAGGTTCAATTCCCTGTCAGGGCACATACCTAGGTGATCCGGTTCCGCGTGTGTTGAGATAACCAATGGATGTTCTTTCTCACACTGATGTTTCTCTGGCTCTCTTTCTCTCTCTCCCCCTTCCTCACTGTAAAACAGGTGAGGATTAAAAAAAAAATCCTGTGTTGCTACACAAGACACTAACAGTGGGTGATGGTCTAAGGTGGCTTTTGTTTTACAAAATGCCCACGAAGAAGAGCATGCTACTCAACAAAGAAGCCATCCTCTACCGACGTGTGAGTAGCGGGCCTCCTGGCTGGAGAGCAGTACAGTCGACCCTTACCCAAGGTGGGAGGGGGTCGGGGGGCGCGACGGCGCGTGCGCAGACCCCGGTGCCGGCCGGCTCCGCCCCGCGCCCACTATTTATTCCCAGAATCCTTCTGTGTCGCACCAGAACGGCTGGATCGTTCCGAGACTTCGGCGGCCCGGCGCTGCGGCGTCAAGATGGCGGCTGCGGCAGTAGCGGCGGCGGCCGCAGCGGCCGCGGCTGCATCTCTGCAGGTACTCGAGATGGAGAGCATGGAGACGGCCGCCGCCGGCTCGGCGGGGCTGGCTGCCGAAGTCAGGGGCAGCGGGACGGTGGACTTCGGGCCTGGGCCTGGCTTATCTGCCATGGAGGCGAGCGGGGGCGATCCAGGCCCAGAAGCCGAGGATTTCGAGTGCAGCTCGCACTGCTCGGAGCTGTCGTGGAGGCAGAACGAGCAGCGCCGCCAGGGCCTCTTCTGCGACATTACCTTGTGCTTCGGCGGTGCCGGAGGCCGCGAGTTCCGGGCCCACCGCTCGGTGCTGGCCGCCGCCACCGAGTACTTCACTCCCCTGCTCTCCGGCCAGTTCTCCGAGTCCCGCTCCGGCCGGGTGGAGATGCGCAAGTGGAGCTCCGAGCCCGGGCCCGAACCCGACACAGTGGAAGCCGTTATCGAATATATGTACACCGGGCGCATCCGCGTCAGCACGGGTAGTGTGCACGAGGTGCTGGAGTTGGCCGACAGGTAGGCAGGGGGAGCGGGAAGTGGAGATGCTGGCCTCCCAGGGGCCGCGTCCAAAGGATGGCGCAGGAGAAGGCAAGGCGGGGAGGGCAGTACCTACGGCTGAGTTCGAGTGAACCCTGAGGAAATGCATCCGTGTGATATTTACTGGGTGCCTGCTGTGTGCTGCGGGGCAGCTTGTGCGCTGGGCACCGAGGATGCAACTGGCCAGTCAGGTGAAAGGCTACTGGCCCTGAGGGAGTTCACATTCCAGGTGGAGGAACAAAGGCAGTGAAAAGTCCGCATGTTGTAAGTGCTGTATTGACGTTAAAAAGGAATGAAGGGGAAGATGGGCTGAGGAAGGGCGGGCTTTCTCCGGAGGTGACATTTAAACCGACTTCTCAACAACAAAGATGAGGAATGAACATTCCAGGCAGATAGCGCAGAGGCCCTCAGGCAAGATCCAGTTTGGTTTAGAAAAGAACTAAAATGGAAAAATCCAGTGGGGCTGGATATAGTGGGTGAAGGGGAGATAGGTGTGTGGAATGCGTTGGAATAAGGAGTTTGGATTTTACTGGGTGATGAGAAACTGGGTAAAGAGATTATCTGATTTAAATATTTTAAAAGGTGATTCTGCTGCATGGAAAGTGGATTGCAGGTGGGCAGGAATGGATGCACCAGAGACTGGTTAGGAGGCAGGTGAATGGTTTATAGAGATGGGAGGAACCTGTTTAGGCTGTATTATGTTACAGATACATTATTTTAACAATTAGCTATTGAGTACCTATTATGCACCAGTTCAGACACTGGGTTCTAAGGTGCTGGGAATTCAGTGGTCAACAAAACAGACAAAAGTCCCTTCCTTATTGCACTCATATTAGTAGATGGACAACAGATAAGTGAAATAGCATGTTGGGTGATTGTTATAGCTGTGATGAAAAATAAAGCATGGTGGGGACATATAGAAAGTGCTGATGAAGAGAAACTATTTTTTAAATTAAATAGAGAATTCTTCACAAAGAAAACATTTTGCAAAGAACCGAAGGAGACAAGATGAATCAGAGTGTTGGTGTAAAGGCCATGAAGTGGAATTTGGATAGTAAAGAACAGCAGGAGGCCATTGTGGCTGGGTCACAGAGATGCTGAATGAGAGTAGGAGAGGCCTCTGGGTGGTAACAGGGCCTTGTTGGCCTGTGGAAGGACTTGAACTCTTACTCTGAATGACATGGGAAGGTTTGCGGAAGACTAATGAGGCACTCTGATTTGAAGAATTCTGCTGTGTTGAAAAAAGGATGGGGCAGTGGGGAAGGGGCTGCAAGAGTGGAAGCAGAGACTAGTTTAGGAGATTGTTGCAATGGTGGTAGAGACTTGGACCAAGGAGGGAGACGTAAAGGTAATAAGTGCTTCCATTCTAGATATATTTTGAAGATAGAGGAGATGAATTTGATGGGTGTAAGAGAAAGGCTGCTAGTTTTTGGACCCAAGCAATTGGAAAGATGGAGTTGATATTTATTAACATGGAAGACTGCAGGAAAGCAAGTTTGGGGGAAGATTAAGAGTTTGGTTTGGATTCAAGAGAGGTCTGAGTAGGCAGGAGGATATCAGAGCATTGAGAACTAGAGATTGGGAGGAAATTAGTATATAAATGATAATTAAAGCTATGGGACTGGATGATAGATAGAAAAAAAAGGCAGGACTGAGTCCTGGTGTTTTTCAAAATATTAAAGAAGAACCAGCAGAGAAGGCTGATTTTATGAAAGCCTAGAACGAAAGGGTGCCAATCATGTCAGCTCTGTCAGCCGTAAGTGATCATTGAATTTGGCCATAATAGAGGTCTTTGATGGCATTTACAAGAGCCATTAAAAAAATTTTATTTTATTTTATTGATTTGTGTGCGTGTGTGTGAGAGAGAGAGAGAAAAAAAAAGAAAGAGATTTGTTGTCCCACTTATTTATGCATTCATTGGTTGATTTTTTTTTTTTAAATCCTGACCGGAGGACATTTTTTTTTTTTTTGCATTTATCTTCAGATAGAGTGGGAGAGAGAGAGATGAAGAGAGAGAGAGAAACATCGATGTGAGAGAGACACATCAAGTGGTCACCACCCACACGACTCCAACTGGGGCTGGGGACAAACTGCAACGGAGGTATGTGTCGTGCCCTTAGCGGGAACCGAACCCAGGATCTCTCATCCACGGGCCAATGCTCTAACCGCTGAGCAAAACCCGCCAGGACCATTGGTTGATTTTTTTTTTTTATCCTCATCCGAGAACATTTTTCGATATTTTGTTCAGCTAGAGTGGGAGGGAGTGAGAGAGAAACATCGATGTGAAAGGGACACATCGAGTGGTTGCCACCCACATGACCCAACCAGGGCTGGGGACAAACTGCAACTAAGGTACGTGCCCTTAGCAGGACCCAAACCGGGTCTCTCCAGACCGCAAGCCGAAGTTCTAACCGGCCAGGGCCACTGGTTGATTTTTGTATGTGCCCTGACCAGAGTTTGAACCCGAAACTTTGGCATATCAGGACAGTGCCCTAACTGAACTACCCAGCCAGTGACAAGAGCCATTTAAGTAAAGTCTTGCTGCAAGACTTTCAGAAAAGAGGATCAGAAAAATGATACACATGGAAATGTTTGGAGATGAGTCCAGGGAGATCTGTTTTTGTCCTCCCTCTAAGATAAGAGATACTAGAGCATGTTTATATACTGATGAAAAATGAATCAGTAGAAGAGGAGAAATTGATATTACAGGAGCAGGGGAATAATTGCAGAAGCAATGTTCTTAAAACCAAGAAGGGGGTAGAATCTATATTAAAAATGGAAAAGTTGGACTGGGAAGGCATAGTATAGGGTATAGCTGTAGGCAGTTTGGGTGGTGGGAAGATGAAGTTTCTGCCTGATTGCTTCTCTTTTCTCTAAGTGTGAGACTGGGTCATCCATTAGAGGGTGGAGTGGGGCAAGGTGGGACAGTTATAGTCTGAGAGGTGGGAAGAAGGGTCATTGTACTCACTCATGCTGTTTGCTTCTGTAACATGAGCCTGTGTTTTTCAGATTTGTCCCTGCTTTATTGGGGAGTGGGGGTGAAGAGGAGAGAACACCTCAGACAATTTACTTAAAACACTAATTTCTCTCCATCTGTCAGCTGTTGAGCAGCTGCCTTGTGTTAGGCACTGTTCTGAGTGCCCTGCAACCATCACATCTAATCTTATCATCAGCTTTGAGGCAGGATCCCTCTCCCTACCACCCTCTTCACCTGCCCCCAATATACTCTGTCAATCATACCTACATTGTAGGGCACTTACAATGTAAATAATAGGAAGCACGGTGTTCGATGCCCATCACATGGCAAATGCCTAGTCTATGCTAGCTTTTGTTTTCATAGAGCAGTGTTTCTAAACACTTGTCCAAGGGAATATGTGTCAGAATTACCCCGAGTGCCTGCCAAAATTAGGAGCTGGGGGTGGATCACCTGGAAATGTAGTGACCCTGACACCCAGACATGTTTGAGAGCTACTAGAACTCTTACTACTCCACCTTGTCTTATGTCTAAGATGTATGTTCCCTGAAAAGGGTGAAGGGAGCCTGTCTTACTCATCTTTATATCATTGTTAGATAGTGTTGTCCGATAGTGGATAGTCATTGGCACCAATTCATTGTCAACAGGAATTCCCAATTTGGGGTGTGGTGAATTCAGTGCAAACAGCTCAATCATACAGCACAGCTGTGAAAACAGCATGGCCTATGGAACAACTCAATTGTGGTACAGCAGGGCTGTGAGGCAGCCCTGGGGCCAGGCCCCTCTGTAGCTAGACAGGTCTGCTCTGCTTCTCAAGCTGCACTGTTCTGCTGTGTTCTCTGCCAGTCTGCTCTGGCCTGTTCTGGTCTGCTTCACACTGCTCCATTCAGACATCTTTGGTGTTTCAGCTCAGCCAGGGATACCCAGTCTTTGGTGGAAGAGAAAAGCCTGCTGTCAGAGCCAGAGGAGAGCTGGCTTATTTGGACAAAAGTCCCTGTCCCTGGTCCCTGATTGGTGTGTTCTCATGCAAATGAGGACTCCAAATCCTCACAGTTTGATTGGTCCAAAAGGCACTATCCTGATTGGTCAGAATAGAGCCACTCTGGTTGGCTGGAGTTGCATAGCTATGATTGGATGGGGGAAAGCCTCAGTCCTATTGGTTGAAATTGAATTTCAGGAACTCCTTTATAAGAGCTGGCTCAAATGGCAGAAACACAAGGCAGGCAGGCAGGCAGTTCAGTGCAGCTGTAGTTCAATGCAGGCCTCTTCCTGAAGTGAGAGGCCCCTGTGTAGAAATGGCTGCTAGGCTCTGTTTTTTTAAAAATTTGAACCTAGCCCTGTCCAGTTTTGCTCAGTGATTAGAGTGTCGGCCTGCAGTCCAGAGAGACCCGGGTTTGGTTCTCACTAAGGGCATGTACCTCAGTTGCAGTTTGTCTCCAGCCCTGGTTGGGGTCGTGTGGGTGGCAACCACTTGATGTGTCTCTCTCACGTCAATGTTTCTCTCTCTCTCTCTCTCTCTCTCTCTTCCTCCTCTCTCCCTCCTGCTCTATCTGAAGATAAATACAAAAGTGTCCTCGGGTGAGGATAAAAAAAAAAAAAAGAACCCAGTTAGCTACCAGGAGCCCTTTCTTAGTAGGTACCTTCTTTCTCGGGGTTCACAGTAGTTGTAATAACCATAATAACAAATAACTACTGACTTAGAGAGGCCTGGACTGATAAAGTCATACTTATATTGTTAAGGTTCTCAGTTCTGCCCTGAGCAGTTTGGCTCAGCAGTTACAGCATTGGCCCGCGGACCACAAGAGTTGCAGGTTCGATTCCGGCCAAGGGCACATACCTCGGTTGTGGTTCGTCCCTGGCCCTGGTCTGGGTCGTGCGATAGGCAGCCAGTCAATATGTCTCTCTCACATCCATGCTTCTTTCTCTCCCCCTCCCACTCTATCTAACTATATTTGGAAAAATGTCCTTGGGTGAAGATTTCTTTAAAAGGGTTCTTAGTTCTGGGGGCATTCTCTTTTTAAAGCTGTGGTCTCAAATTGGCTACGCTTAGGGCTGAATTCTGCCAGATTTATGGATTTGTTTGAAACTATTTTGTTTATGTTTTAAGATAGAGAGAAAGGGAGAGAGAGATAGAAACATTGATGTGAGAAACATCCATCGGCTGCCTCCTGCATGCCCCCTACTGGGGATTGAGCCCACAACCTGGGCATGTGCCCTGACCCGGAATCGAACTGGCGACCTCTTGGTGCATGGGTTAATGCTCAGCCAGTGAGCCACACCGCCAGGCTTGTATGTGCTTTTTGATTTTTTAGAGAAAAAGGAAGAAAGAGAGAGAGAGAAACAGCAATGTTAGAGAGAAACATCAGTCACCTGCCTCCTGCACGTCCTCTACTGGGGATCCAGCTCACAATCTGGCATGTTCCCTGACCGGGAATCGAACGGGTCCTCTCAGTCCATGGGACTACACTCAATCCACTGAGCCACACCAGCCTGGCTTATATGTGCTTTTAAACATACTTTTCAGCTCCCTCCCTCCCAAAAGGCACAGCCTCAGATTTCCTACATGGCTGCTCCTTTCCTTTCTAATAAAAAATAAATAAATAAGTAAATAAATAAACATACTTTTCAGCATAATTCATTTTAATTTGAGAGTATTTGCTTTTTTCAGATATTGTGCATTTAGTGAGGTGAGGCGTACCATTTCAAATTATATAATTTAGATGCTCTCAAAATGCAGCCATATAAAATATTTGAAAATTAATTATTCTTTTTCTTGATTTTAGGTTCCTATTAATTCGTTTAAAGGAATTTTGTGGAGAATTTCTCAAGAAAAAGCTTCATCTCTCTAATTGCGTGGCCATTCATAGCTTAGCTCACATGTATACCCTGAGCCAACTTGCTCTGAAAGCTGCTGATATGATACGGAGAAATTTCCACAAAGTAATTCAGGATGAGGAATTTTATACTTTACCTTTCCATCTTATTCGAGACTGGCTGTCAGATTTGGAAATTACGGTCGATTCTGAAGAGGTTCTTTTTGAAACAGTTTTGAAGTGGGTTCAGAGAAATGCTGAAGAGAGGGAGAGATACTTCGAAGAACTTTTTAAATTGCTCAGATTGTCCCAGATGAAACCTACTTACCTTACTCGACATGTCAAACCAGAGAGGCTGGTGGCTAACAATGAAGTTTGTGTCAAGTTAGTGGCTGATGCAGTGGAGAGGCATGCTCTAAGAGCTGAGAACATACAGTCAGGCACATTCCAGCACCCCGCTTCTCATGTCTCGTTATTACCTCGCTATGGGCAAAACATGGACGTGATCATGGTCATTGGAGGCGTGTCAGAAGGAGGGGACTATTTAAGTGAATGTGTGGGATATTTTGTTGATGAGGACAGATGGGTAAACCTGCCCCATATTCATAATCACCTGGATGGACATGCAGTTGCAGTAACAGAATCCCATGTGTATGTTGCTGGATCAATGGAACCAGGGTTTGCTAAAACTGTGGAAAGATATAACCCAAATTTTAATATATGGGAACATGTTTGTAGTCTGATGACAAGGAAGCATTCTTTTGGGCTAACACAAGTCAAAGGGAAGCTCTATAGTATTGGAGGACATGGCAACTTTAGTCCTGGCTTTAAAGATGTTACTGTTTATAATCCCGAGATTGATAAGTGGCACAACTTGGAATCAGCACCAAAGATTCTTCGAGATGTCAAAGCACTAGCCATTGAAGACCGGTTTGTGTACATTGCTGCTCGCACTCCTGTGGACCGGGACACTGAAGATGGATTAAAGGCTGTAATTACTTGCTATGATACAGAGACTCGACAGTGGCAAGATGTGAAATCTTTGCCACTTATTGACAACTACTGCTTTTTCCAAATGTCCGTGGTCAATTCAAACTTTTATCAGACAGCATCATGCTGCCCTAAGAGTTATTCTCTAGAAAATGAAGAGGCAGTCAGAAAAATTGCCAGCCAAGTTTCTGATGAGATCCTTGAAAGCTTACCTCCAGAAGTCCTAAGCATCGAAGGAGCAGCCATTTGCTACTACAAAGATGATGTTTTCATTATTGGAGGCTGGAAAAACAGTGATGATATTGACAAGCAGTATCGGAAAGAAGCCTACCGATATTGTGCTGAGAGAAAAAGGTGGATGCTGCTTCCTCCCATGCCGCAGCCTCGTTGTAGAGCCACTGCTTGCCATGTGAGAATCCCTTACCGGTACTTGCATGGCACACAGAGATATCCTATGCCTCAAAACTTAATGTGGCAGAAGGACCGGATCAGACAGATGCAAGAAATACATCGGCATGCCCTAAACATGCGGCGAGTGCCAAGCTCTCAGATCGAATGCTAGGTTCTGTAATACATGCAGCTTAATACAGTTATACCTGTTTTATGGAGCTGAAGATATCCAGACTGTTACTTGAAAAAGTATGTCGATAACTTATTTTCTACCTGAGTTGATTATTGCCCCCTATAAAGGAAATATAGTTAAAAACGGAAGACTGGGAAACTCAATTCAGTACGTGGTAATTTTTGTTAGCTTGCAATCTTTTTCTGCCTTTGGTCTCTGTCTTTGGTTTGTATGTGTATGTGCTAGCTAAATAAAATCTTATTAAAGACAAGTGGGGAAACCAGGTATAGTTACTTGGCTGGTTTTCTGCCAAGAAGTTATAACTCCTATGTCTTAGGAACTTGGGTTTTGAACATGCTTTAAGCACCAATTTTATTTGCACATTTACCTTGATAATTCCTTTTCATTTTTTCTGAACGGTTTGTTTTGACAAGATCAGAATTTATGCATTGAGCCCTCATCTGCAAGAGGTATGTGCAATAGTGGGACTGAAATTTGAAGGAAAAAGCACAATGTTTCAGCAAGATGATTTTAGAATGTTTGCATTGACATTTTGTTTATCTAGAAGTGCTGTTTTATTTCCTTCTAGAAGGGATGACTAATGAGAAATTTGTGATTGGTTCATACATTTTTTTTAAAAATATTTTTTCATTTCTTTAGCCAACTGAGTTATCAACTTCAAGCCATCACTCTGAAATGATGGTAGTTGGCACAAGAATTGATCTTTAGCTGATTGATTGAATACAGAGGACATTATATATGAAATTTGTTTCTCTGAGACGAGAAGTATTATTAATGTAGTCTGAGAAATCAAAGGCATTAAAAAATTTCAAAATACTTTTTCAGGAGTTGCAGGCTTATTTGAGGATAAGTTAATGAGTGTAAATAATGCCTATGACAATCGACACTCAATGCCTTCAATTTTAAATTTTGGTCTAGTGCATATTTAATAGAATCTTCATTCCTTTCTAAAAGAAACTTTTTTCAAAATGGAAAGGAAATAACAATTTAGAGAAATATTGGTAAGGAAAAACCTTATTTCTCGCCCCGATTGTTATAATGTTATATCAAGTTACCCTAGACTTTTTTTTTTTTTTAGTAAGAGTTTATTTGAGCCAAACTGACCACATATGCTGGGAGCAAGATTTCAAATACTCCCCAGTTGTCCTGTACTTTAATTGAAACTGTCTGAGCCTAGAATATCAAATTTACGTGCATAATTCTGGCTCTTCAAAATTTATCGTTGTAGTTATCTTTTTATTTTTATTCATTCTTCTGATTCTATTAACACATTCCCAAGCTTTATACAAATTAGCACTCAGGTTGACTATTTTAGCACTCAGTAATTCCTGTTCTTACTGTTTGCAATGTGAGTCCAGTATATATATTTTTCGTTTCTTTCGAAATATCTCTACTATCTTAGACATTCCAGAACATTGTCCTAGAAGTTGAATTCTAAGTGTATTAATTTTTCCTTTCTATTCTATTATAGTTAACCTCCTTATTAGTGTTATCAAACATCAAAAACAAAACTACATCCAGAAATTTTAGCTCTCAGTTTGCTATAAGACTATTAATGTTTAGCCCTTGGACTCTATACTAAGAACTTTTGTGAAATTTCTAAATTGATACCCCTGCCTGGGACAGTTTTTCAATAAATGAATTGGAAATCTGTTTTAAAACTATTTAATTTAGACTCAATTTCTGTGTATTTCTAGTTATTTTAATAAAAGCCATTGGAATCTGAGACATGCTAATTCTTAGTTGTGAGAGATCTATGCAAGTAAGACAGAAAAGCTCATTGAATGAAGTTCTCATTTCTCACGGATAGACTATGCGAGCAAACTTCCTTTTCTTGGTGGTTTAAATAATTTAGTAACTCACTGTGCTGGCACTTTCTAGAAGCGTGTGATGTAGGGATTTGGGGCTTTTTTTTTGTCTCAGAGTTTTCTGAGACAGTCACCAATTTATTTGGAGGGTTGTCTTTTTGTCATATGATATGGCAGAAATTATATATAACTTGTAAGGTTTAGGTATAATCTGGTTTTGAAAACTTGATTGAAATTGTTGTTTTTTAACTTAGCAGGCAGCCTAGGCCATGGGTGAAAAGAAGGGGTAAGTCCTTCCTTGCATGATAATGTGTGCAGGTTTTCCTGACTACTGAAGTTCTAATTTTCATATTTGAATTCACACGTGTGATTTCACATCAATAACTTATGTTTCTGAAATATCCTAACTAACTTGTTAATCAGGAAAGAAACCGGATTTGCTTAAATCTGTTCAAGGCTGACATTCTGAAATTTTAAACTGGAAATAACTTCCTGGCGTATTTGGAAAGGTTCAGATTATGAAGAACCTAAAGTGGCTTGGGGAGGTGTCCTTTTTGTTGAAAACTTAAAGATTGTGTTCAGTAATTTAAGCAGTTATAAATACAGCTTTAAAAAGGCAATGTCTATTTAAGCAAACTTTTTGTTGTTGCTTTCGGTATTGTTTTGTGGAAGGAAAAGAGGAATTGATTATATAAAAACTAACAATTATACAAAACTTAGGGTGAAGCTACTTCTATTTCAAATGGATATCTTTTAACTATACCTACTTTGCCATGGTTGTTTTTAAAAATCAGTGGTATATATTGAGAATGTCAGTCATGAGCTTAGTGTTTAAGTATCTCACTTGCAGTTATTTGCATGATTAGTCTTGTGTATCTTGGTATCTTAGTTTTTGCTGTGTCAATTCAAAAATATTTGGTAAAAAAAAAACAAACCTCAAAACTTATTGACATCAGTTTTGTTTTGATCAGCTGGTTTTGTGTAGTATTTCTGGGACCAAAAAAATTTAAATACTATTAAAATATAGAACAGATGTTTGGAGCTGGAAAGACGGTGTTTATGGAAGATTTGTGTGCTTTTGTATTTTAAATTCTTCAGGCTGCTGGTAAGGCAATTTCTATTGCACACTTTTTTCTTCATGTTTCTTAACTAGTGTAGCATGTGGTATGTTTAAGTACTTTATTCTGTGCTTCATAATTCCAATATGAACACTATATATTAGTAAACAGGTAACCTAAATTGTGTATTTTAGTTACTTGGCCTAATCAAGCATAACCAAAGGGATTTTTTTGTGTTTTGGTACTTTTCTCATTAAACTTAAATAAAAAGGGTATATTGGTCATATTTCATGTCTTTTGAAAATATAGAGAGTTGTGAAGCATGTTCATTTGCCTACACTAGAAAAATAGGGTGCCTGCCTATAGGTTGCTGTTTAACTGTGGAATATTTGAGAAACAATTCCATCTCCTTTTTTAACTGTCAAACATTTTGGCATAGTTCACTCCAGTTTGTTACTTTCTTTCTTTTTTTTTGGCTTTGTTATAATGCTAACATTGTAACGTGTTCTGGTCATTGGAAACAAGAGCTCATAGTTGAGTGATGTAATACAATAACAATAACATATAGTAGTCGGTTTGCTTCAAGGAATTTAGATAGCCAAATAACTGATACTTGTTGCTTACCTTTCTAGGGCTTTTGTCTTGCTCTATATGACCATTACTGCAACAGTAAAGCACATACAATAGAGCACTTGTTAACTTAATCCTCCTGCCTGATTCACTCATGAAAAGTAGTGCTTGCTATATGTTTGAAGATCTTAGGATCCCTGTGCTAGGGCTTATTGACTTTGTAACATCAATACTTAGTTCAAAAGCCGATATACAGTGAGTTTTGGGGGCTAGCAGTATCCCAGCCTCTACTCTACTGAAAGTTATAATCTTGACGATCTCCTGTAAATCGGAGATGTGGAATTTATGACACTTTGAGACATTACATTGTAAAATAGCTTGTTTTATGTTCCTGAAGCTATCTTGTTCTGTGTTAAAGCTACTAATGGTCTCAACGTAAGCTTTAAATAAACGTATTTCATTAGAGCTGGTTTGCACTGTGTAATTTTTTCTTTTTAAATGTGTACTATTGGATATAATTGCTTCCTTCCCTTTTACTCCCTCATTTGTCCAACCCTTGGCTCCCTTATGTTGAACATTTTCCAGTACTCTTACAAGTTTAAACACTGCATTTATTTAAAAAAAGAATTAATTCTTATTGCTTAGACTTTTTATTAGCTAAATGAAGAGGCTCATACAGGTAGGGTACTTGTTGAAGCGGAGTACTTTACTTCATCTCGAAGTGCTAATCCTGTGAAGTTGTCCCTTCTAGCTGCATATTCCCCAACATTGGCCAACCCTGGTACCACACAGCAGCTCAGAGCACTGCGATATATACTCATGTCATGAGCATCATACCACTCGTCGGTCTTTTCATCATAGCACTCAACATTAAAGGTGGTGGTAAAGCCATTAAAGCCACCCACCACAAACAAGAGGTCGTCTACCACCTCAATGCCAAAATTGCTACGAGGATTAAACATAGTGGGGATTGTGCGCCAAGTGTTAGCCACTGGGCTGTAGGCTTCTGCACTCCTAAGTCGATTAGCGCCATCAAAGCCGCCTACCTGTGGACAGCAACGGAAACATGATTGACTGTTAACCATTGATTCTGTTCACCTAGGAGGCCCTCTTAGAGGAGGACTAGTGATTTCATACCTCCCTCTTCCACTGTCTTCATGGAAAAAAACGTCAAATGCTTACCAGTGGTAGTATAAACCTATTTCCTAATAAAAAATTGAGGGGTATCATTTTTGTTGTGGTACAAGATAAACTCACCGCATATACGTGTTCTCCATAAGCAATTACACCTATTCCACTCCTCCTGCTTCTCATGGGTGCTATGACTGTCCACTGATTACTCTCAGTGTTGTACACTTCTGCTGTAAACAGGCATTCATTTCCGTTAAACCCACCACATATGTAGACCTGTGTGAAGACAGTTGCAAGATTATTAAAATTATTACCTCTGGGGTATGAAAGGTTATGTATGTGGTATGGGGGGTGCACTTTTGGTGCCAGTCTGTACACTCTAAGTTTCTTTTTTTTAAATTTTTTATTGATTTTGGAGCTAGAGGAAGGGGGAAAGAGAAACATCGACCCACTTCTCCACCCGTTCATGCACTCATTGGTTGACCCTTGTATGTGCCCTGACCAGGGATCGAACCCACAATCCTGGCGCCTCGGAATGACACTCCATCCAACTGAGCCACCTGGCCAGGGCCACTCCGAGTTCCTCTTTTCCACATGTGCATGCATTG